GTTTTCTATCTTTCCCCCCACATCGTCAGAGGTAGGTAACAAGTGCAAAATTAGCGTCACTGATTGCATGTAAACAATTAATAAATTTGGGGTTGTATGTATCTTCCATTCTGATTCAACAATAGCTTCGTTTTGAAGTATGACACCGAAGGACCTGAAGGAGAGACTCGTAGATATGGTTGCAGTCAGGTGGGGAAGTGATCTTCCAGGAGACAAAGAAGCAAAGTTATTCGATTTAGTTAACTTTGACTTTAAATTTCTCCAGAGATACGTCAAGGAAGATTTCGATGACGTGAATGCTTTGATAAAAATGATTAAAAGTGAAAAGGAAGACTGATGTGAAAAAAACATTCGTTTCTGATAAATGTTATGTTACATTAAGACATAAATATGATGACACATTTCAATGTATCTACATGTATTACATTTTGGAAAATTGCATATGTACAAGTATGACATATTTAACAAAAAGTGTATAGTTGGTATTTTCGCGGGGTTTTATTTCGATATTTTCGCGGTCACCAAATATAGAGCGAAACTAAATGCCCACAGAATATTAATACCATGATTACATCAAGATCGAAAATGTGAATCATTCATAATTGCCGAATAAAAGTGATACAAATGTAATCAGCGAACTAGTTTCGATAGGGACAACCATGAAATATCATCCCGCGAAATTAAATCACTATACAGTATTCAATATAGATGTTATACATATAACATGATATACTGAATTTAATATACTTTATATATATAGATATACATAAAAAAATATGAAAAGACTACATAAAATTAAGACAAGTTAATAATTAAAATGATTACATAATATAAGAACTTCAATAAATAAAACTTTACCTGTATCAAAATACTATTAATGTGTCACTTTGCCTCTAACACAGATACACCATTTATAATATTTGTGGTTTTCGCACGTAAAATACAAATACACGTGATGCTTTTAATTTTACATAGAACATGTATCGACTTGAAGTATAATCATACATGTAGTTTCACATTGGTTTTACTTCATTTTATAGCGTTCTATTTTCGTTCCGGAAATACCCCTGTTTTGGCCCCTCGAGAACACTCACGCTCTAGTGTACACACGCCTGTCAGCGTGTATATTATTGACAACACCAGTGGAAATCCTCACCGACTATTTTATTTTAGAGGTACAGCAAGGGGTTAGTAGGCGGTACGCTAGCCTATGTGAACAAGGAAATTTTCTATACTTAATGGAATTTTGTGAGGATATACGTACTTTAGTTGGGTTTTACACTCGAGATGTAATAAAATCGAGGAGTTTTAAGCAGCATCACATTCATCTGGCGAATATCGACAAGTCATCAACTGTATGTAGAACGTTGACAATTACATATTTGCTCTATAGGAAAGTTCGCCGTGACGTCACGGAATTTAGACATATTTCGAAGGAAATCAATATGGTTGATCAAATGAAGTTAATCTTGGACACAGTTACGGAATCCCAGGCTGAAGGAGTTCGGGCTTATTTTGAAGAAAATGGTTTCGTTCAAACTATTCTGCACCTCGTAAACACTGTCTGGGACAAGGAGACGTTAGAAAAAAGCAAGATTGCCATAGAAACGCGGGATAAAGACAGCCCTCTATTCGAACTTCTGTTTATCGAGTTCAACATCCAGAAACATTTCGAAATTACAGATTCTCACAAATTCTGGGTTGAGAAGTCATTTCAGCGATTACGAAAGTTCGTTCCTAATATGACGGAGAATGATGCTAAAGTGCACGATCTCAGTAAATATGACTTTGTTCAAGCCGTTGGATACACAGCCAAATGGGTCCATAATTTGGAATGGGGAAACCCCATATGGCAGGCAGCTCTGAACGACCACTACAAACGAGAAAGCCACCACCCACAGTTCTTCAACAACGAGAGAATGACACGGAAGGATCTGGAGGAGAGTCTCGTGGATATGGTTGCATGCAGGTGGGAAAGAGATCTAAAAGGAGACGAAGAAGCAAAGTCATTCGATTTAGTGAACTTTGACGCTAAATTTCTACAGAGATACGTCAAGGAAGATTTCGATGACGTGAGTGCTTTGATAAAAAATATTCAGAGTGAAAATGAATAATGTTGTGAAAAAAACATTCGTTTCTGAACAATGTTAAAGTACTAATAGATTTTTCTGTTGTGTCACATTAAGATATAAATATGATGACAAGTTTCAATGTTTCTACATGTATTACCTTTAGGAAAATTGCATATGTACAAGTATGACATATTTAACAAATACTATATAATTGGTAGTTTCGCGGGGGATTAATTTCGCTATCTTCGCGGTCACCAAATATATAGCGAAATTAAATGCCCTTAGAATATGGATACATGTACTATGAATATACCAAAATAGAAAAATGTGAACAACTTATAATAATTATGATATTATAATAATTGTGATATAAAATCAGCGAACTAGTTTCGATAGAGACAACCACGAAATATCAACCCGCGAAATTAAACCACTTTACAGTATTCAATATCAATGTTTGGATTGTATATAGCTTGATACACTGAATTTGATATACTTTATATATACATAGATATTTTTTATGAAAAGACTTCATAAAATGAATACAAGTCTATAATTGAAATGATTACATGAGAACTTCAATAAATAAAACACTACTTTTATCAGTATAAGGTTATGATGTGCAATATCTTTAAATTTTTTGAATACACATTTGTAATAAAACGATTTGATACTAATTATTTGTGTTTATTCATTATATGAATATTTAAAATATAAATGGTATAGCTGTTTTGACTACAGCTTTAGAATACCCTTTATAAATAATAAAGGTGAAATAAACCAAAATATATTCAACAACAGTGCTCTGGGTGTAACATTCAGCAGGTCTAGACCAGCGTTTGAGCCCTGGACTTAAGATTCTCATACTTTCGCTCTAACCGACTAAGCTACTTGATCAACAAAAGTGTGATGGATACTGAACTCAACAAGGTCGATAATGGGGAAACGATAACAGAAAAAAACCCGTGTGCTTTCTGGTTTGATCGATCCATATTTTTTGGTATTTTACACTGATGTCATAAGTGCTGAAATTCGACGACCGGTCTATTATAGTTGGATGAGGTCGTTAAACTAAAACCTTATATATAAGACAGAACTCGTTTCATAATAAATTTATCTAGGACGTTTATACAGATATATTTATAAAGAAATGTTTTTGAACAGTTTTCGTTACTTTAATTCATAATTTATTTCTTAGAACACACAAACATCCACACCCACACAAACACACAAACACACCCATTTTTTAAAATTTGATTACGGATATAATTATCTAATCTATAGTCTTCCTGTTACAGTACTTGAGGTAAAAAGGTCGAAAACACAATTTATACAAAATTACAAACGCCGCCACAGATAACAGTAATTGAGATGGAAGTATTTCTTGTCCGTACTTTGAAATATACATGTGTGAGGTTACGTGAACACATATGTCCTAATAAGGAAATTCTACATCATAATGTAAATACATGTGTAAGCGATGGATAAATGGAGATATAGGTGTTTGCTAAGCGACCTCATTTCAGGTCGCTAAATCGTTAGTTTGAGTATACCCTTTATAAATAATAAAGGTGAAATAAACCAAAATATATTCAACAACAGTGCTCTGGGTGTAACATTCAGCAGGTCTAGACCAGCGTTTGAGCCCTGGACTTAAGATTCTCATACTTTCGCTCTAACCGACTAAGCTACTTGATCAACAAAAGTGTGATGGATATTGAACTCAACAACGTCGTTAATGGGGATTAACCGCAGCTAGGTAAACACACCATAGGTGTGCTGGGAGAGAAATGAAAGTCTTAAAGGGATAGAAATTGTAAAGAGATATAACAGTTGACAAATGATTTCTGAAAAAAGGACTTCTTTCACAGTTGTTATGAAATAAATAAAGTTCAATACTTGTGATACAGAAAGCAAAACAAATCATTTCTAAGGCAGGATTGTTCGCATATAGTTTACATGAAATAAGATAATACACAGCTACACATATAAACAATCTATAAACTATCGTCATTGCGTGTCATTGATCGGTTTATGACACTTTGTTAGCGACAAATACAAATGTATAGCGTATATTTGTTATTGTTTAGCAATGCGCTATAGTTCAATACAGTGAAGACCTTGCAGTCTATTTATAGAACTCCGGTGACCCAACCGTATGATTTATGTACAACGGCTGACGTGGGTGTCTATTTATAACGATTTATACACTGTTAAAATCCGGAAGAGGTAAGACGCCTTTTCCTTCGGGGTTTTCCTTTACCCATGAAACTACTTGTGGTAGGATCAACAGGCGGTTCAGGGCTAGATGTCATCAAGGAGGCCCTTTCAAGGAACCATGAGGTGGTGGCTTTAGCTAGGAGCCCCAATAAGGTCACAATTCAACACGCCAATCTGAAGGTTTGTGATAGTGATCATGCGTGTATGCAGTAAACTAAGGTCACGCGGGGTCCTCCAGATGTTGACAGTTGTTTGGACTGTTTACGAATGTATTGCTATTTATATATATGCCTTCTTAAACTGTGTTTTCTTTCAATATTTACGGCAATCTTGCTTTTTTAGAATGGTCATTTGAACCAAAGTAAGATTTCAACATATCACATCATGCTTATCTATATACGTCTATTTTTGACACCTGATTGGATGACTGAGTACTTCAGAGACTGCATAACTGGATGGGTGAATGATTGAGTGAATTGGTTGGCAAATGCAACTAATCATGCAGACAAGTTTTACAGATTTGTAGCTTTACGCGACATCGTCTCTACTTAAACTATGTATATTTATCGTGTTCCTGTCTAAGTGACACTTAAACCAGCCCTATCGGGAAATTAAGTTATCACATGTTTTTAACCGTACTTCTGGTCATATCATTTAAGATATTGCTGGGGACAGCGATATAGCATTTTAGTCTTTCTATAAAGTATCAAATTGTTATAAATACATTCGTTTCTGATTCGAAACTGATACGAAAAATCCATGGGGTTTTTTCATTCTTTGAATTTGTTTGCATATATACGTCTTACAGATCATGAAATAGACACATTAATCTGTGTTAACACAAGGTAAGTTTCTCTTTAGTCATAAGAAAGTAGTAAGTAGTAAACATTTATCGTAAATATATATAAAAAAAAAACCCCACCAAAAACCCGAAATAATTTGTCATCAATAACAAAAAATAATTTTATTTAAAACGATGTGAAGTCACGGAAAAATTGAAGGCAGAATTTGCAATCCTTTTCATAACAATTATATATCTCTGAATTATTTCTACTACACCTACATTAGCAATCCATTAAATCCAGATTAATAAACAAGCCGTGAAAATGGCAGTAAGTCCAGACATTATGAAAAAAGTGTATAAAAACGAAGAAAACAAATTGTGCATAAATGTTTTAGATTAGATAAACAGTAAAATAATTTATTTTGAAGTAAAATCTTTTATATCAATTATAAAAAAGCAACAATTACAATCATTATAATTGATACACTCTTTTAATGCATTGTCTAATCAATTGTTTCTTCATAAAGGTTGTAAAAGGGAATGTATTTGAGCCACATGACCTTGAAGGACCAATCGCAGAATGTGATGCGGTGATTTCATGTCTCGGCTGCAATGCTGGATTCCTGGGTAGAACACCCACGACATTTTATTCAGATTCTATGACGTCACTGACGACAGCTATGAGGGCAGTAAATAAAACACGGATAGTTTGTATGTCGTCATGGTGTACTAAACGTACGTACCATAATACGGAGACATCTGTTGCAATAAATTGTCTTTCTCCCGCATGAATTATACCAACTATTGCCGTCTTCTAACCATCATCATCGATACTCCAGGGGTTACGCTCACATACGCTCTCTGCACCCCTGGAATGTGTCATAGAAAAATTGAAGTCACGCGGCTAAAGAAACCTGACCAATTACTAGGCAAATACTAATTGTCCTTTATCAAAGGAGTGACAACCGACTTCAAAGCCATTCTATGGAACCGTTACGCAACCGCGAGATTCTTTCGATGTACATTAAAGGATCAAACTAGTCTTCTCGTCTCATACACAAAGGGTTGCACACTGAGCCTTCAATATTGCCACGACACAGAGCATTAGTGAGTGTAACCCCTGTAGAATCAATGTTGACGAACAATCACCCTTTTTACAAAAAACATCATATGTGTTTTTCTACAGTACCCCCGGGGCCCCTCAATTCCGTTTGAATATAACTGTAGCAATACTGATAGTAACCAGGTAGTTCCATCGACTATACTGATAGTATAACAATCTGAAGTCTAGGGTACGGATTCTGGTCTAGCGCTGCTCAATTTTTACACTCGGAACACTATTGTCGATTATATTTTGTTTATTTTATCTTTACTATTTCTCATAAAAGTCCAGCAAGTTATGGGTTTTCTTTTCAGAAATTATTTATCAAAGCTATAGTCATGCCGAAAAAAAAGAGTTTCCAGCAGTTAATTTAAGTTTTTGTCACTGGCTAAAATTCGTGATAAACAACGTCATCAAATTTTTGTGTTGTCTTTTAATTTGAAGGTTTAGTGACATAACCTGGAAAAAAATCTATCATCGAAAGAATAGCCCAACTAAGACGATATATGAATATGTAATGAAAAAGAACAGATATGAATGTATGCCTTCACACAAGTAACCCCTCGTAATGACAAATGCAAATAGAACGAAAGAAATAGTTGATACACGGCAACGGTTTGTTTATTCATCGTACATATATCCTGTTTCACAAACTCAGATCTTCATGAATTAGTTGCATAGGTAGAGTCGCAGCAAAACTCAATAATGCGAAGTGATTTGGCCTAGATTGACAGATTTACATAGGGATTGAACGGCGTTTTTTTTTTATTGTTCATGCCGGTATAAACGCAATTCGGCTACATCCATTCGCTATGAAGCCCGCTATGGATGTAACCGATTTGCGTCCATACGAGCATGAAAATTAAAAGAAAAACCGTTCAATCCATAAATTACCCTTTTTACTTTTGAAATTTACTTTAAGAACAATTATTTAATTGTAGTTATTTGTTATTGAATTATTTATTTATTCACTAAGTTTTGTATTTGCGTCAACCTTTAAACGACATTGTCGGAACAGCCCTATTTAAATAAAATTAGCGCAAATAATTAACCGTAGTCATTTGAGCGTATCACGCAGGTGCATTCTCCATGTTATCCCAAGCGAAGCGAAAAAGCTCTCATTGAACAAAGTAAATATATGACGTCATAAGTAAACCACGTGTTACGTCACGAGAGTTTTTGCTTTCATACTCAAATGAAATGCATTTCTGCTGGTAATGTTTATATAGTGGGATGCAGTGTAAATGTAAATATCGATAAATCAGAATACGCTTACCCTTCCAGAAACCCTGGTATAATACTCCTTGTACTTTTTTCCAGAATCTCTATGTAAATATTTCCTTTGTTCAAATTTTGCCCTTATTTATTGATTTCGAGTTCTAATTATGGCCTGTTGACGCTTCGCTATTTTTAGCCTGCATCAAAATATCACACACGGAACGTTGTAAATAGTACAGAAATGTCCACATTTGGCATCAATACAATGCTAGTGTTAGCAAAGATAATTAGCATTATCATTGCTTCTGTTATTCGTGGGCAACAGAATACTTTGCTTAACACAGTGGTTAATTTTATTTATGTTTTTGTTTTAAGCGGCCGAAAGAACACTATGGGTTGCAGAATGGATCATGCGCCCACTGGTCATCGGGAACCTGCTGAAAAATCTGTCCGAGATGGAGAATGACCTTGAACAAAAGTGTTCCGACCTTGACTGGACAGTGGTCAGAGCGCCCGGACTGTACAATGCAGATAGCTCAGGTAACAAATGGGACTTTTCAAATTGTCTTCTTTTTTCAAACCTTTTTTTTTACGTCAAGTATGAAAACAATATGCAATACAAGTTTTAACCAATCAAAGTTAAGTAATTCATATATATGTCGATGGGTATGTATATTATACAAATATGTTTTTGTTTTAAATATTACCTTATCTGAGCCTGAGGGCTGATAATGGTCGAAGGTTTGATATCCTTTCCAGCAGACTGTTGACATATCCATGGAGAGAAAGTGTGCCCCTATCTTGCTTCCTTGCTGTTTCATTAAGCATAAGGCTGAAATAATTCCAAGGTTTATGAGGACAAGTATAAAACACATTAAGGCGTTCAGCGTTCACTGCTAGCTATTAATTTTAACGATATTCTCATTTTAGCGGCATATTGTACCCCGTCTAGATTAGACGATATCGTACAAGCAATCCGAACCTTCAAATGCAATATTTCACTTTACAGTGAATGCCAACAAATCACTTTCATACCTGATTTAGTTTCAAAGTACTCTCGATTTACCTACCTTGATGTGCCATAAGTTTTGTTCCTATTCACAAAGTATATGTTGTTGTTCATTTAAAAAAAAAACATATGCGTAACATCATGGATCTTAGAAAATACTATTACGCTTATTTAGTTTATTTCAGAGTGCATTATTAGGTCCTACCCATTTTCAAAGCATTTTTTTTAGCTAACTAATATAAGCGCGCTTACACGATTTGGTGTTACATGATCTTATTGTGTATCTACATAATTGTAAGTAAGGATTACTTGGTAAATTATTACTACAATAACAATCTATATGTTGCTTCCAGGGAAGGAAATAAAGACAGAGGAGTACCAGTTTGTGACCGGATCCCCTATATGGATACCTAGACGAGACGTTGCCATTTTTATTCTGAATTGTATAGAAAAAAATGAATGGACAAAAAAGATAATTGCGATTGGATTATAACTTTTTTGAAGAAGTCAACAACTATTAAACGTGAAACAATTTGTCGAAGAAAAACAGACACCATTTCAATCCATTTCCTCCCACTTATTTCCTAGGGTTTTTTTTGGAGAGGAGTTGAGTAAACAAGCACTACATAACTGTTTTGCTACTAAAATGTATTCCCACGAATTCGATGATATTCTGGATCCATCCATGATATACAATATACTAGGAGTCCTGCATGTGATGATACATCATGGAGTTGGACAATATTAATTGACGTTACAGCACAGATGGGATATTAATTGGCTTAGCCTGTTGTCCGATTCTTTTTGTCAATACAGTAGTACACGTATGCAATTTTGTATACATATACATATATCATCCTATTTTCTTATTTTAGTTTTAACGGTAATGTATAATCAGGCATAGTTATCTATATATATGGTTTCAGAGGAATTGGAAAAACAAGCTAAGAGCTTGTAATAATTCCTCTCCCAAATTGTAACATCTGATTTGATATATGCAACTTACATATTTGTATCATTTATATATTTTCAATAAAATATAATTTACATTGTGGTTTTGTTACTTAAATGTTACTTCGATGATTCCGCATATCGAAAAACCGTACTCTTCATTCTGAATTATTCCAAGAAGTTTATGCAGCATATTATTAATTTTGACTATGAAACTACCAACTATGTTGAATATTTAATAATAACATTTACCGATAACAGGGAATATTATTGATACTGATAACGTACAAATGAATGACAATGCTTCAAAGAAAATACGTATTTATTGTTCGTGTCAAAGAGTAGTTTTATATCGTATTAACAGGTTAATACCGTCGTTAGACACTTACATATTTTGATTGGTAGTCCACATGACTAGTTGAATAGATTATTTACTAGTCCTTCGTCAATGTAACTAGTAAAAGATTTCCTGATAAGGAAACATCGCAATCTTCAGCACGAAACATCAAAAGCAATCGACTGAGGGGCTTTAAATAATTACTGTCATAAAAATATGGTAACGTTTTATGAAACTTTTGACCGTTATCATGAAAATTATCTCATTTTAAGCAGTTTTCTGAATTTGAAAGATAAATAATCTTATTTCATAATCATATTTTTCACAAGTCCAAAGGACCAATTGGGTTAGGTGATTCACAAGTCCTTTATGAAATCTACTAGTCCAGGACTAGCGGACTAGTATTAGTGTCGACCCATGACATTTAATGTCTTTGTTAATGTCCATTATCGAGCCGTTCTAGCTCTAGAGTTTATCCTATACTATAAAGTACTATCCCAAGTGCTTACGTACAATGTACATGTATATGCTGGCATCTACCGTTCTGATTAGTATTACCTGTATCATCATTACTTACGTTAATTTACCTTGTGATGATACAGATGTCAGTTGCTGTAAGAGTACGGAACTCCACGGACGGGACTTTGGTACTCTCCAGACCTGTCTACGTTTAAGAATGTATTATACATATGTTTTAGAACTTATAACATAGTTAAGTTCTCTTTATCACTAGGGAAAATTCAGCAAAAGAAAAACAAAATAATCACAATTGACGTTACAATCAGGTATGGTAAAATGACCAATATAAACTGATGCTATACGCTCTACATTACCAGGATCTGGACTGTATCAGAATTAGGTAAGCCTGTAAGTGGACAAACTGTTTTCAATGTAGCAAGTACATGTATACTGACGAATACATACTTTTACAGTAAATTTGTGATTTTGCACGTAAAATATGTTGTGTATTTTTCTACCTCCGAATAAAGCAAACTTGGTGAGTTATCAAAATTATATCAAAGTTATAAGAAATCTTCAATATCAATATGTAAAAGTCGCGATACGAACAAATACTGATATTTTTTTAATTTTTTGTTTTCTCGATTTTCAATAAATTGAAAATATCTTTTATTATTTTAGTTTTAATGTTTCTATTTAAAGTAAAATTATCTGATCTTGTGTTCTTTTCATACAAAAAGAAAAACACGACACAAATTCTAAAGTTCTTCAAGATATTTCGTTCTTGTATACTGACAAACTTAAATGAAAAATATCAAATATCCAGACCGCTTAACATGTTCAGTCTATTTTTAGTATCGTACACTGTATATATATAAATCAGGTGCGCTTCCTTATCAAAAACAATTTCCATACAAATCCCTGAAATTCATTTTCTTAACGTTATAATAAACACAATAATAATGCATATTTTAAACCATACATACTTACTGAAAAACTTTACTATGGGGAAGTATTAGGTGCGCTTCCTTATCGAAAATAATTTCCATAAAAATCTCTGAAATCTATTTCCTTAATGTTACAATAAACACAATAATAATGCATATTTTAAACCATACAACTTTACTGAAATATTTTACTATGGGGAAGAACTGAATATTCAATACAGAAAAACCAAGAAACATTTTTGTCAGTTCAGGGTTTTATCAAACTCTGTAAACTCAGTTCACACGTACGACCTTATTATTGTAGTTATTATTCTAAATAGTTTCTACATCAATTATATATTGTATAATGTAATCGACAGTGCTTATTTATATTCTTAATACGTAATTCTTTATTGATCGTAAACTGATACAGTTAACAGATACAGCATTTGCATTAAAACTTAATTACAACAACTATTTCCAGGGCCATTCCATTAATACAGCATGTAATTATCTACTTGTTAATTCGCTCGTAATATGTTTGCTTGATGGACCAATTATCCTAAATTACACAAATCCTTCGTATTTACAGATGATAGAAATATAACTAATTAAAAGACGGAGGGATTTATTCGATAAAAGGGCTTAATACGTTATATCGAGAAATATGCGTATCGTAGTTACATGTGTGAGTATGAGCGTTTGAGTATGTGCATGCGTACGTGTTAGAGCGTGCCATCATGCGTTTGATCGTTCATCCATGGGTGAGTAAGTGCAAGCGGGCATGCACATCAATACCAAAACGTAAAGCACTGATCACCGATTGTGTTGTACATTAAATGTAATATGTTTCAGTTGCAATGTTCACCACCTGTTAATATGTTATAAGTTAAGTTTAACTTATTCTAATTAATATGCTAGTTAAGGTGTCAACAGTCTCGAAGAATTATTTGCCTGTAATATATACTTCGAAGAAGAATTGATATTAGCTCTAAGCTTGTTTACCAATCCCCGTGTAATTATATGTATGTATTAAACATGTTTGAATATTGAATAAATACTGTTTAAACTACACTGTTTGTTCCTTTAATCACGTAATGGAATTCATTTCCTTATTTTCAAAATAAGGTATTTAATGGCATCGAATTCAAAAAATTTTTATAAGATTTTTGTAAGAACAGGACATTTTCAGTTATATCTGTCACAATTATGGAATAAACAGAATGATCCTGGTAGATTATAACCAATTAATAAATGTCCGTTTAGAAACACATGTTAGATGTAAGGGAGATAACTGGTGTATGCATATAGAACCAACATCACAACACCCGCTTGATACGAACGTATGATATCAGTAAAATTGTATTTATTTTCACTGAAAGTATCTTAGAATATTGCTGTGAAATAGATGCACTTTGGCGTTAAAATTGATATTCACCCAATGTGAATTTACTTTCATTCAAAAAGGGAAAAGATCGGAATTCCTAGCAAATATTAAAGAAAGACAAAACATTCGTTCTAATAATTATCATATATTCATAAATTTCCTGTATTATGGTGAATAAAAAAAATGTGTTGAAAAAAGATGCAGTCCTAAAGGCGACATTAATAAAAAGATTATTCAGAAAACATTTTTCCAGAGTATACACAACTGTTTTAGATTATTTAATAAGTAATAAGATTAACAAAAAAGAGTTTTTTCATTTAGGGATACATATAAAGTAAACCATGACTGTGTCTTAAATTGATACAATTGGGAAGCATTTCTATTTTTTTGCATGTTTTCCTTTTCATGAATACTTGTTACGTAGGGAAAAGTAACAATACTATAGAATAGGGATTTTACAGTGTATATTTCCATATCCAAGAAAGAAAGAAAGAAAGAAAGAAAGAAAGAAAGAAAGAAAGAAAGTGAAAGAGAAAGAAAATGAAAGAGAAAGAAAGTGAAAGAGAAAGAAAGAGGGAAAGAGGAAGAAAAACAAGAACCATTAATTTAACAATGATGGCCAATCATTTATGGGCAAGTCGAAACTTATAATCTCGTATAATGCTTTATTATAAATCATCGATACATCGTTAATTGGCATCAACAGATCACGCTAACACCCAAAATCACATCGTCGATTGGGACAATATCAGGATAGTTGAAAGGGAACAACGTACAAAAACTAGACAAATCAAAGAAGCTCATAAAATCAGGAAAACTCAAAACATGAACGAAGGGGACACGAGCTGAGTCATCTGTATGACCCAATACCGACACAACAGGGGAGGGGACTAGATCTACACCCTACCTGTAACCTATCTGATGCAGTGTGTAACGCTCCCTATCAATAGGCGAAACCTCTCGGGTCGAGTGCCATGAATAATATACAATTTTGCCACATGGTTGTACAGGTAAACATACAAATTGTTCACTCAGTCATAGCTTGACAAAGGGACCAGTCGGTCTTGAAACGTTGCGACAAGTTTTATACGTACATTGTTTGTGCCAAAAATAAAACTTTGATATCACATTATTCCAAACTGATGAATCTTATTGAAAACGTCGTTACACGATGTGTTAAAGGACTTTATACAGTAAGTACATACTAAGTACTTAAACGTCCTGAAAATGTTATTTGATTTTATAAAATATAAAAAAAAACAAAAAACGTTTTTGTCAAATTCTGCCACGTAAAAGATGAGCAATGCCTATACAAAAAACTGTTCGCAAATGTTTAGCCTTGCATCGGATTGTCTTCGTCATTCCAACATCGAAGTTTCGGTGCATGACGATTTTATTTCTTTAATTCTTTCACTCTTTTACACTGGAAAGGTACATTAT